AAGCCTTAGAACTGTATTTCCGATCGCTGATGGAGGTTATGGTTATGTTACTACAGAATTATCATATGACGATGATCGCCTTTTCAATGCATCAGTTCCAATCATATCTGTATATTATATGTTTTTAACTCCAATGACTCATCAAATTTCTAAAAAGTTTTTACTTCACTATGCTCGAAATGTTAGTGAAATATCATACATTTCATGTTCTTTAAGCTATGGTGAGCTTGGAAATGTATGCTTGATAACCGAAATAGCCGAACGATCTCATAATAATTCACTGTCTATAACATATCAAGTTGATTTTTTGTCTTCTGGTTCTGTAATTAGATTACAGCCATTATACTTTCAAACTATGATAACTAACGATCGTAATTATATTTTACAATCTGATATTAAACCCTTATTTTATGGTGGCTCAATTGTAACTAATTGGGCTGTTGATATTAATAATGATACTACCAATAGTAACAATGATACTACCAATATTAATGGTAATACTACTAATAGTAATGATTACACTGCGCCTATCAATGTAAACAGTCAAGGCAATCAAGTGGGTTCGGCAGCGTTACCACTTGTAAATATTACTGTGGATATTATTGCACCTAATGGTAGCAAAATAATAGGGGATTTTTGGCAGTGGAGTTTGATTGCCAATTCACCCAAATATGCAGTATTTTTTATAATGAAAAATAATACATATATATTTTGCGCAATGTATGAACCTAGAATATGGGATATTTTTGTTACTAATTTGCCTAAATTTAGAGTAATCATTTATTTTATATTTGAATTCTTTCAATTTTAATTAATTTTAATTTAATTTTAATTAATAATTCATAGATAATTACGAAAATCCCAATATTATTTCAACATACCCTCATATTAATGATACAATATTACCATATATCGATTCTATTACAATAGTTTTCTCAAACCCAATTTCTAAATCTTCAGATAGTCTCACTATATATCAAATCGATACAGCTACTGGACGATTTAAACCAAGAAAATTTTTTTCTGGAAATTCAGAATATTGTCAGATTTCAGATAGTATACTTTCATGCGCTATCTTTCCATGTATTTTTAATCAATGGAATTCTTCATATATGATTGTAATGGGCAATAACTTTGTAAAATTTGCCTCAACAAATGAGCCTATTATCGGTATTGAAAAGGATAAATGGATATTTAAAACTATTTCACGTGAGTATATCCATGGGTAGCAGCATTTAGCTAATGACAATAATTAATTAAACATTTTATATAGGGCGAAATGAATCAATGTATTCAGGTAATATTAAAGTATCATATTATACTTAAATTGTAAATAGAGTTTTTAATAAAATATAATGATTTGTTTTCAGATTCGGCTATAGGTGTTGTACGGTTGACTCCTGAAGGCACTAAAATATACGATTCTCTTTCACCTTCGGAAAAAACTGAATTTATTAACCATTTTCAGCGA